AGGTAGTCCTGATTCCAAGAATTGATTTGTCCCCATCTGACACTGGCCTCCCATTTAAATTAATTTGAAGACAGTTTCCCATGATGCCAGCATTTGCAATGACTATTAATAAATCACAAGGACAAATTCTAGACAGAGTAGGAATATTCCTACCTGAACCCGTTTTCAGACATGGTCAGTTATATGTTGCGTTCTCTCGAGTTCGAAGAGCGTTGATGTTAAAGTCAAAGTTGTAAATACTTCATCACAAGGGAAATTAGTCAAGCACTCTGAAAGTGTTTTTACTCTTAATGTGGTGTACAAGGAGATATTCGAATATGTGTAATCAATTTATCAGTCATTGTTTTTATCCATGTTTTTATATCATGTTTTTGTTTTTATATCATGATTTGTTATTTTTATATCAAATCATGTTATTGTTTACTTATTAATCAATTTATATACATCATGTTGTTTACTTATTAATCAATTTATATATTATTTTCATAAACATTTTACTAATTTTCTTTCATCTCTGAGACTTCTATTATAAAGAGTGAATAGTTATTAAAATATTTTGTATTTTAATTTTGTAATACTATATTATATATACTACTTTGGCATGTAATTTTTTGCAGTAATGTAATTACCACACAACTCTTTCTTCTAATTAATTTCCTTTCAATGTGCACAAATCCGTGCACCAGGCCACTAGTAAAAAGGTAAACAAAGGTAACTCATGAAAGAGTCCAGTGACAGAGTGACTGGAGCAGAGAAGAGGGAGGGTCTCCATGAGGACTTGGCATCAGAGCTGAGAAAAATGAACAGTAGAAAGGAGCCACCTGAAAGAAGGTGAAAAGAAGGACCAGTAAGTATCAAAAGCCTGAGAAGGGGAAGAGCTTGGTAATTTTGAGAAACAGAGAGAGATGAATGCTGCTGAAGCCCAGTGGACAATGCAGAGAGAGGAGGAATATGTGGTCCAAGAAGAATCCCTGGAAATCTTTAGGGAATAGTGAGAATTCAACAGAGACCTTAGCAAGAGAGCAATTTAATTATTCCCTGGAAATCTTTAGGGAATAGTGGGAAGTTCACATTTGTTCTCATGTTGAGAATCCAACAGAGACCTTAGCAAGAGAGCAATTTAATTCCCACATAAGAAAGATCATTCAGTAGCAAGTAAGAATAAAGCCAAGGATAGATTCAATTAAAAGAAATATGCTATGATCTTGTCATATGTAAATTACCTGCTTTCATTTAGAATGACCTCTGTTAGACATTTCTAAGATTCTGTCTATAAATTCCAGAATACTCTTCTTTCTTTTTTAGGAATAACTTTTTTACTCTACACAGACAGATGAGTTGCTAGCATTACAGATGTAAACATATCCCTACTTTGGCATTCTCTTTTTTCCTAAGGTACGTGGTTAAGGACAATATATCTGAAACAAGGCTTAATGAACATTCTCTATACATTTTAATAAAAAGCTAATAGTCTGTATTATAATAAAGTCCTATTCAAGCACAAGTTTTCAGCTAGCACTGTAATCTTTCCCAATAACAAATATACATAGCCACCAGTCAACTGCAGCTATAAGTGATAAAGACTAAATTCAGGAGAAATGCAGACTAAAATTGCTATGCCATAAATTTTAACAGTACAGCACTCTGGTGCAATGCAGCATAGGGACAAATAATCCTACACACCACAGATTTGGTCCTCAAGGTTATAATAAAATGTTTCTGATAATGACCCTGTCCATCCATTTTAACATGCATGGATGTTGATAAACATTTCTTCTTAAAGATTTTCATTAAAATTTGTAAAATGTTTAAAGATGATATCCAAAGAAATAACCTTCACTAATTAAAACCTTGGCAATTGTTCCAGATGGCTGCATTTTTAAATGAGGACCCATAGAAACCTATCCACTTATGTGTACGTATTTCTGATATATTTAAAAGTATATTACCATATACTTCTGATAATTTTAATGAAAAAAATAAGTTTTATTATATTCACTGAAACCTTCCCTGAAGTTAAAATTCTATTGAATTAATTAAGAACCACTTGATAATACCACAATCGACGATGAGTTTTCCACAGATAATTCAGAAATATCAAACATGGAAAACAAAATAAAGTTGTATTTTGAGCTTTAAAATATAAAAGGTATAATTTTATATTAATACCTTTGCAGATTCAGTTGCACTGGTAGATCTTAAATTCTGCTGAGATAGTGGTGGATCAACAGTTAAGTCATCATTCATTTCCAATTTAGCTTTCTCCTTGTTTTCTTCAAGGTCATCAGAAGTCACTTGCCCTTCCTTGGATTTCTCAAGTGCAGAAGTAACAAAGTCTATCAAAAATGAATTATCTTCATTTTTGTCTGATTTCAAGGAATGATGGTTTTCAGTGAATTCTTCATTCTGATCTATTTTGAGACAGAGTAATAGCACTAAAACTCCATTGTAAATTAACAAGGTGGATAAGAGATTCATTTGTTTTCCACTAGATGTCATTAATCCCTTTTTCTTGCAAAATAAAATATGCAGAAACTATCATATTCAACTTGAACAAACTTTTATTCCAGTGATCTACAAAAGAGAAAATCGTTACTCAACCTACTAAAACATCAATGTACCAAATGCTTAGAAAATTAGTAAACAGACTGGAATAACTACCCTACACTGAAGACACACCAAAAGCGCTTGTTGATCTATAAACCAAGTAAGTCAGATGGCAATATCAATTGTCTTCAAGAGCCTGTTTCTTAGCTGTAACAAGGGCTTTATAAGTAGGAGACACACATATCTATGCTACTACAGTTCTCAGTAGTGCAGATGTAAAATTGTATAGGTGCAGGGAGAACCAAGAATGCATGTCACTCTAGTATAGTCCACCACACAGAGAGTAAAGCCACCCTCTAAAGCAGAGGTTTTCAACCTTTGGGTCGCGACCCCTTTGGCAGTCGAACGACCCTTTCGCAGCAGTCTCCTAAGACCATCCTGCATATCAGATATTTACATTATGATTCATAACAGCAGCAACATTACAGTTATGAAGTAGCAACAAAAATAATTTTATGGTTGGGTCACAACATGAGGAACTGTATTTAAAGGGCCAGAAGGTTGAGAACCACTGCAAAGAGTTTTATTCCCACTAAGATGCAGTGTTGCCTCTGATACCAAGGGGGCACTAAAGGCAGTTTATTTTTGCATTATCATTTATTATTGTATTATTTATTTACTAGAGGCCCATTGCATGAAGAGATTCATGCAATAGGCCTCCCCTTCCCCTGGCTGTAGGCACTGGTTTTCCTCCGGCACCCGGGATCCAGACCTTCGCTCCAGCCGCTCACTCCAGCCTCAGCAGAGAAGCCAAGCCTCTTCAGCCTTCCATCTTCACTCCCTGACTGTGTATGCAAATTAACCACCATCTTTGCTGGGTTAATTTGCATATTCATCCAATTGGCTGGTGGGCATAGCAGAGTGACACCAATTTGCATGTTTCTCTTTTATTAGTGTAGATATTAAAACTGTAAACGTACTTCTGCCCACCTGTGCATTATTTCTTTTGTAAGTATAAGCAATTGAGTTCACAGATAAAATAAGATACAATAATTTGATATAATCACCTTTCATAGATGTTTTTTCCCCAGATCCTGGTGAAAGGGAATCTCCAAAACTTTCTTTAAGGGATGATAATGACAAACTTGTTAACCATGGATCCTGCTTAAAATAAAAGATAATAAAAAAGTATTAAGTTAGGTCAGTTCTCAAGATTTATGGAGGACAATAGCATTATTAAGACTATTTCATAAGTCTGACATCTGCATTTTTAGGAGTTTGCTGATGCAACACCAAAAGCTTGTTAAGCTAGTGGAGGCTACGATGCTTTGTTTTCAAGCCTCTATGTCTTGATCATTAACAGGGGTCACTACAGCCTTACCCGGTTTGGCTCAGCGGATGGAGCACTGGCCTGCAGACCAAAAGGTCTCAGGTTTGATTCTGGTCAAGGGCACATACCTTGATTGCAAGCTCCTCCCAGCCTGGGCCCTGGTCAGGGATTGTGCAGGAGGCAACCAATCAATGTGTTTCTCTCACATTAATGTTTCTCTCTCTGTCTTTCCCTCTCTCTTCCTTCTCCCTAAAAGTCAATGAAAAAAATATCCTTGGGTGAGGATTAACAAAAAACCAAAAACACATACACACAAAAAAAGGGGTAACTATAGAGCTATTCTAGTTCTTTAACAGATATCTCTACATTTATTTTTAGCAATTTTTAGAATTTCTGCTACTCTAAAATCAAATCTCATAAATATTTAAAGTAAAGATTTGATATCTATTTCTCTAATTCTCCATTCTAAGCATAAAGATGACAGTAGGTAAAAATCCTTACTTTGAAACAAATATTACTAGGCATCTAAATGAAAGCAATTATAAAACCAAGTACATAGCTACTTACAAATATCTAAGATTTTATGCACCTCAGTTTTCTTCAAAATTCTAAAAATTACACTAAATTAAATTATTATATTTGTGTTTCTAAAGTAAACATCTCTCTATAGAACAGCAATCCAATCCATGGAGCAACTACTAAAATATAATGCAAATAGGTACAGGCAAAAAGGCAATAGAGGAATTATAATGAAAAACAAAAAATATGTGACTGACTCATAAAAAGGCAGTAAAGGATTTATAGAGGAACAGTAAGAACAATATCAATTAAAAAAACAATAGGTAAAATAAATACAAAGCAAACAGTAACAAACTGGCCCTATATGTACTTACATTAAAAGTAAATAGACTAAAATAAAATATTTAAAAATAAACAGACTAAATACTTATGAATGCTATAATGTGCTCATAAATAAATGGACTACCACTAAAAGGAGATTGTCAGACTTGATAAAAACATGACATCAAACTGTTATTACAAAAGAGTCACTTAAAGAGACACAAATAGTTTGAAAGAAAAATGATAAAAAAATATTTACCATGCAAACAGTCATAAAAAAGTTGACACATTACACAAAACAAATTGCAAAATAAGGAGTATCACCAGATAGAAATATTTCATAATGCAAAATAGGATCAAGGCATAAGTGTATGATGTGTCTAATAACAGAGTCATAAAATACTGGCAAACTGAAAGGAAGTATAGACAAATTTGCAAGCATAACTGGAGATTTTAACACTGTTAGATGGTACTAGGAGAATCAACTAGATAAAAGTCAGTGATAATGGAGAGGACATGAATGATACTGCCAGGCACCTTGAGCAAAATACAATTATAGACCATTTTATCTAACACCTGCAGAACACATATTTTTTTGAAAAAGCAAATGGAACTTTCACAAGATACACTTAGGTTGGACCATAAAAATATCTTAATTTCTTAAAATGTGAAATCATATAAGATATATTCTTTTGTCACGATAAAATTACAATAAAATCTTCGTATTGAATTATAATTTATCTAGAAAAGGTCCAAATATTTGGAAATAAAATCATTAGGCACCAAATAACCAATTGGTCAGAAAAAGAGATCATAAGGGAAATTAGAAAATAGATTTAAAGAAATGAAAATGAAAATAAATGGCATCAAAAAATTGGGTGCTGCTAAAGCAGTGCACAGAGGGAAATTTATAGCTTTCGATGGTTTTATTAAGAAGGATGGAAAAGGCTTTTAAAATCAGTGGACACATTTTAAAGGTAAGGAAATTAAACCTAAGGAAAGAAATAATAAAGAGTGAAAATCAGTGAAACTGTAAATAAACTATAGAGAAAATTAACAAAGCCAAAGTTGGTTCTTTAAAAAGTTTAATAGAACTGAGCAATGCCTATTAAGATTTAACAAGAATAATAGAAATTATAAATTCTATATTAGAAATAAAAGGTAGAATGCCATGATAACACACATTTCTTAATGGAAGTTAGCCAGGGACCATATAGTCCATTTCCCTGATCTGCTAAAGCACATTATGGAGGAGGAAACCTTCCCATACTCATCCCCTCTGAAATGTGAGGTGGAAGTTTGCGAATGATATGAAGTGTAAAGACAGGAGGCCACATGTTTTCCCAAATGATGACACATAATAAACTTTCTGATGAAATCCTGGAAGATCACATTGACTTCCATTTTTTAATGTCTCTGAAAGTATAGGACAGTGCCATCAACATTCAATAAATAAAACCAAATGAGAACACTGACACTGGCTATGTCCTTAGTTTGCATGGATAATAAAGGGTCACATACCAAACCTTACAAACTCAGGGGAGGTGGGCCCTATAAACTCAGAGACCAAAAGTAACCGCATAGGATGGTCTGAACATAAAAATTCCTAACTAAAAGCAGGTCATGGCAGGTAGTCACATCCTAAGCCTATGGCTTCCTTGACAAAGGTCAATCTTTACCGTAGGTGAGCCTATTATCTTTTTGCATCTAAGATACATACCTTGGAAATGTCAATCCTCAGGGCACACGCACCTCACCAAAGCAAGAGGCCACAGAAGCCCTCATTGTTACTTGTTTCCTGAATACCATCTCTATGTGCTGTAAATGTTCATTGTTAGCTACCCCGTACCCAGCAATGTAAAAAAGTATGTGTCTCTCCATTTTACTTTTTATCCAGTCCCAGAGATTTCCCTGCTTTGCTTCTCCCTACTCCCTAATCATTATACCACCAATGATTTCACGTATCCCTCCTGAGACTCCTCCTTTGATTCTAATGTATAAAATAAGCTGCAAAACTGTCATTTTCCAGGAAATGTTCTCCATTTCTTGAGATTTTGCTCTGTGGCCACTGTTTTCAGTTTGGCTCAAACAAACTCATAAAAATTCTCTACAGGTCTGGCCATTTCCTATACCGACACTGCAAATTATATAATGCAAAAATACATAAATAAAAAAATAAAGTTTTACAATTTAAGTTATACAATACTACATAGATTCAAAAGGACAACATTTTTTTTTTTACATTCTACTTTCTTTGAAATTGGATGCATATTATAATTACTGTTGTGTTATGGCTTAATTGGCAGAATTTTATTCTCTCATGGAAGTACACGATATAATGCTGTATATTTGTTACATCTTACAATTGATGGCATTTCAGACTCAATGAAATGCAGTATATTAAAAAAAACATAAAATTATGTCCATATCAACTGCTGAAGAAAACATGGAACACACACACATACATGCATAGAAATTTTCTCTCTCTCATGGTTAGAGGCCAAGGCCTGAAGGGGAGAACACAGCTCGGCAG